GAGAATCTGGCTCTTCTTTCCCTGGGTCAAAGCTGATTGCAGAGAATCTGCAGTTACTTGTTCTGCCCAGTCCTCAGTGGGCCAGCACACCAGGACTCTGCCCCTTCTGTTTCCATAGGAATCATGTTGGATTATCAGCTGTACTAAGCCCTGTTGCCCTCTCCCATGTGCAGACACTTCCTGGCAAAACCTGTTGGTTAGCTGGACATGCTTTGGTTAATTTTTTTTTTTTACGCTACCAGGTGACCATAAAGCCCATGGCACTGTTATTGGTACCCAGTGTCTGATGTTTCTTTCTTTTTAAAATTATCCCATAAAAATTAAGACCTGGGAGTGTTCTGTTCTCCACTACTTGAATACCTCCTTAGAGATTTTCTGTAGGTGCTGGGCACCTCCAGCGGAGGGTGCTCTGGACCTTCTTCCCCTCTTTGTCCCTCCCGACTGGAGACCTTTCTGCGGATTGTAGAAACCTGTCTGAGATAGGGTCTGGCCTGGTCATTTGGCTTTATCAGTGCTTAAAATGAACTAAGTTTTTTAGCCATTACCCTCTGACTTTTTCTCCCTTTATTTTAGTATGCTGTGGGCCATAGACTAGGGATATAGGAATGACCAGCATGATACCTTCATGGTCTTGTTCCCAGGGATACTAGCACCTTTTTCTGAGCAGGAAAATGATTGAAGTTTGGACATGGTCTCCTTTGAATATCAGGTCCTAGGGCTGAGGGCATTAAGAATGGTAAGCTTCCCTCCTCATCCCCTGCCACAAGGAAGTATCCCTTTATTTATCAGGGTCCTTACCTGCCTGCCCCATCCCCAAGAGCTCACAGTATAGTGTTGGTTTAGAAGCCCCGTCTGCACAGGTTTTCAGTGACTCAGAATGCTCTACTGCCTTTTCTTTAAGAAAGGACTGAAATACACTCCTGCTGTGCCTCCTTACTCCCTCACAACTCCTGCCTGTGTTTGTGTGGATCCCTAATCCCCAGAACCACGCTGTTCAGATGGACACACTGTCTATAAACCTGGGTAACTTGTCGTCATGATGCAGACTTCAGGTTGTTCTGTATAAAATGCAAAATAAATGTTTTTATTAACAATGCTTGAGCCTGCTATTATATAAGCCCTGGGAGAATCTATTATGAGGTAAGAAATCTGGCTGGCAAGATCCTGGACTTAAATGGGTTATAGGTTATCATGTAGATCTCTCTATTTTTAGGTTGGTTTGACATTTCTTTACCCTAATCTGAAGACAGGCTCCCTATGAGATTGCCAAAGGAGATTTCTGTCTTTTCTCAAAGTTAGAAGTCCTTGACCTTTAGCCGCCATCCTTCCGAATTTTGTTGTAAGGTAGAACACTCAAGGACTATAGCTGAGACAGCTGATTGCAGAGAATTGTCACAGCTGCTGATGTGACGAATTCAAGGACACTGGTCCAGCCCACTGGGTGAAAGGAACAAGCAATGCCAAGGACAAATAGGAATGGAACAGCTAGCTCAAGGTGTGAACCACTAGAGTGCTCTGGTACTTCATGGAATGCCTATTCTTCTTTGCAGCCTCCCATAACTGTTCCTGAAGGCATCAGTTATATGGGAGGTCTGAGGCCAGATCATTCTATCCTGAGACTCCTGCTGCAACTGACCTTCTGAAAAAGTCTATTAATAGGCAAGGGAGTGGGTACTAGGTCCTGGCTTGTAGAGTGTACTACTATAGTTAGCAAGGACACTGTGTTCAAGAGGCCTGCACCTTCACTCCCCTAGGAAGGAAGCCATGACTTTCTTCTACTCTGCTATATCTATATTATTCTCTCAAGAAACAATACCAAAAAGCCAAGCCCTGGCAAGGTAGCTTAGTTGGTGAGAGTGTCGTCCCAATATGCCAAAGTTGCAGGTTCCATCTCCAGTCAAGGGCACATACAGGAAACAACCAATGAATGCATAAATGGGTGGAGCAACAAATCAATGTCTGTCTTTCTCAAGTCAATAAATAATTTAAAAAGCCAAATTCGCATTGTCACAATTAATTTATTGACATTTTATAAAAACTCAGGCCAAGTGGAAGAATACGGTACATCCCAAAAGTATAACTGTTCAGTGCTTTTTTTTTATTTTCTCACCCCGTGGCACTGATGATAAGAAAGCCCCAGGCTCTCCACTAGCATGGAAATATTCTTAGAAGTGAGGTGATGTGATTTTAAGCTGTGGCCAGAGCTCTAGCATCCCCTGAGGCATTTCAAGCAAGCAAAAGTAATTGACCATCCAGTTCCTCTGTGTAGAGGAAAAAGCTCAATTTATTCAATCCTTAAGAAAAGTTGCTATTTTCCCTGGTCAGACACTAAGGTACCTTGACAGGGCTCAGGGATAACCACACAGTCCTAATTATACTTCAGTGTGAGAAGGCTGCAGGCATCAGGCTTAGGGCTCTCAAAATGAGCCTGACCATTTCTTAGCATGTGTCCCTTCCATACCCCCTGCCTTTTCTTCCCCCGCTTTCTAGAGAACTGAGGGAAAACTATTATAAACAGACTCTATCTCAGATTGGGGCAGGAGTCAATTGAAATAAATAAAAGAATTGGGTGGAGAGGGAGAGTAAAGGAGAAGCTAAGGAACAGTCTTTTGCCTCAACTGTGGTGCACCTCATGGAACATCAGTTCACGGGGTATGGCTGTTTCTGGACCAAACTTGGTGGCTGCCCGGCGCTCGAAGGCAGCAACATTCTTTTTGACAACCTCATCAAAAAACATGGAGGCCAGCTGGGAGTGCAGCAGAGAACGAAATTCAAAGGAAATCTGGGAACGGGTAAGAGACAGTCAGAAACTTCAAGATCATGTTGGCTAGTCCCTGGCCAAATGCAAGAACACTAATTCAGTGCCTTTTCTTCCCCTCCCCCGCCAGTTCCTTTGAGCCCCTCAAAAGCCTAGCTTAGGACTGAGCGCAATGTTCCAAGTTTGATAAAAGGTCAGATCTGTGGGAAGTGTCTGACTTGGGAAGTCCCAAGTGCTAGCTATGCCTAAAGAATAACTGTCATGCCCAGCCGGCGTGGCTCAGTGGTTAAGCATCAACTTATGAACCAGTAGGTCACAGTTCAATTCCCGTTTAGGGCACATGTCTGGATTCGGGCTCCATCCGCATCAGCATGCAGGAGGTGGCCAATCAATGATTCTCTCTCATCACTGATGTCTCTCTCTCCCACTTCCTTTCTCTCTGAAACCAATAAAAATATCTTAAAAATAGTAATAACTATCACGTAGCCCTGGCCAGGTAGCTCAAGTGGTTAGAGCACTGTCCCAATAGGCCAAGGTTACGGGTTCGATCTCCATCTGGTCAAGACACATAAGCAATCAATGCATACATACGTGAAACAACAAATCGGTGTCTCCAAAAAATCAATTAAAAATTAAAAAAAAATAACTGTCATTGTACCTCAGCTCTGGCCCCATACCTAGTTGTATCCCTGTGTCATACAGGCTCCTGACTCACCGAAAAGTCCACAGTGCAAGTTCGGGGGTAGGCAGGAATACCAGGACTGAATCGCCAAATGGTCTCTAAGTGATTGAAGAGCTTGCCATCAGTGCAAACAGCCTAGAATAGGGCAGTCAGGTAGTTAAACATCATACAATGGAATAAAATCTATAGTAAGTATAGGAGACTACATGAAGGAATTGAAAGTCATTTTCCTTCTCATATTTTATTAGGGAAGTATTTGAGACATGGAGATAAGATTATTACAAGAAAGGCCAAAATAGCCCTTGAATGTAAAAATGCTAGAGAACACAAAAAACTTCCTGATCAATCTGTCTCAGACAGACCTCACCTTGACCATGTGAGGTTTGACGGTGGAAACAGCAGAGGTATAACGTTCCATGACAGGTGGAAAGCCGACCTCCAACTGGGCCTTCAGGTGACCTTTCCGGCTGGATACCACCAGAGACTTCTTACACCACGGCACAAACTCACAGTACTCCTGGACATTGGAAACCACCTCGAACATCTCCTGCATGGAGTACCTGGGGAAAGGCATCGGAGAGGCCAAGGAACTGCCAGCTGGTTCAGGCTTCTCCTTGCCCGTGGTGCACTCCCCCCAGTACCTTTGCCCACTAACCATGCACGTTCAGGAACTAGAGATCCCAAATAAGTCTGAATGAATGACTTCCCAAAAGCAAATGTACAAATTTTCATGATGTGAATGTTACCTTATGTTTTACAGTTTAGTTAATGCTTTTAATACCTATTTTTATCTTATTTCATCTAGGAAGAATAGAGGTTGTCAATCACACAAGGGCTCAAATCCCAGCTCTACAACTTAACGTAGCCGTAGGTACATGATCTGTGCCTCAATTTGCTCACCTGCAAATCATAGGTAATAACAGTACCGAATTCATAGGTTTGTTGAAAGGATCAAATGAGAAAAATCTATGTAAAATACCTACATCCCAATTGCTAGCAGTAGCAAGTGCTCAGTAAGCGTTAGCTATTTTATATTGTGCTCAGATTACATAAACTCAGGTCGGCAGAGAAATAATCCCCTGTTGATTTATGATACTGTCCAATTCTAGGCACATTTCACATAATGTACATGCAGGGCAATCAAGAAGGGGGGAATTAAGTTTGGAAGACTGCAGGAGAGGATAAAGGATCAGCGACGGGCAAGGATGAATCTTGCTACCCTTACATTCTAACCTGGACACGGTTACTTGTTTGGAGGGGAAGGGAATGTGGAGGGATTCTGGACAGAGGTGGATGCTCACCCCATGATCCTACGCTCGGAGTAAGCCTTTCTCTTGTTGGTGAAGGAGGCAGCAAAGCCCATGAAGGAACGGCTGGGAGGTAAGCCACCCTCCGCCGCCAAGACCTGGGCAGTCCTGGGGAAGAGGAGGCTGCAGGAAATCAGACATCTAAGCCCAAAAGGAAAGGAGAGACACACGTCAGGTTTCTTTTGTGTTCAACCATTCCCGGGGGAAGGGGAAGAGGGCACATCCCAGAGGAAGGTCGTCCGGTCAACTTTTCCCCCAGCACCTGCTGCAGCCCGCCAGGCTCCCCGGCCAGACAGTCACGAGTGCAAAAGGTCGAGGGCGGCAGAGGACAGCGCCGCGGGAGGAGCCGGGAGAGCGCACGGTGCGTGCGAACGGCCCGTGGCCTCTGACTGCGGGCTATGCTGCTG